TGAAAGTTCAGGGAAATGAATGACCTATTTACTCCACAAGTGCAGACTTGGCTGAACATTACTGGTGACTGAATCAAATGCTTAAAAAATTCAGAGAATGACAAAAATTAAATTTCAGCCAAAAAAATTAAGAACCCTATAACTTTGCTTCAGAGACTGAAAAGGAGAGCTAACATTTCATTTCTGAGATATTTTCAAGCAGTAAGTTCTCAGATACGGGTTGAGTCCATCACTGAAGTACCAATATTTCATTCAGCTCAGAGCTGGCATGAATCTTTGTCCTTCTTACACGCCATGTAAGAAACCACGCAAACTATAGTATCACACATCTGAATCTACTTAATAAACCACACATACACCTCCAACTTTACACGAGGCTCTCAGTAACGCAGAGTTTGGTAGGAGTGCCCAGCAGCTGCATGTGGCAAGTGCCCACTATTTCAGACAGGACGGTTCTACAGAGGAGCGATTTTTTTTTTTTAAAGTACTTAAATATGACTGCCTTATTTACTGCTAGGTTCCTACCCCAAAACCAAGAGATTTTATAAACCTAAATTAATAATGGGTCAGCATTTTACAAGCATGAACGGTCTTTCCTCGTAGTTCCCCCTCCTGGCTTAGTTTAGCCCCTTATTCTTTTAAACCCTTAATCTCAGGGATAGTTTATTTCAATTTTCCCTTTCTTTTTAAGAAGATTCTCAATTCCTCGACAGTCATGGCTTGTCCACTCATTTCCAGTAATCTCAAGTCCTTGGTGAGGACGTATCCAGACAGAGAGGGCCATGTCTATTCTTCCTCCTGAGGAACACCTCCTGTCTTGGAACTTCAAGTAAACTTTTGCAAGCAACAAACATCAAACAGACAACAGAAAATGATGTTACCACCTCAAATATCTTTCCCCTGTTGGCCTTGATAGTCCATTGTGCTATCTTCTCTCCTGCATCCTTTCCACTGGGCACCTCTTTCCGTTTTCAATTAGCTTCTTTTTAACAGAGTAGCTCTTCCTCCACCTGACTTAGTGCACGGGCAGAGTGAGGTAAAAATGGATCCCTCCACCCAGCTCTCCTGCCTTTCAGAATAAAGAACCACCCTCAACAAAACACAAACTCCAAAAAAGAAAAAGAACACACACTCAAATTCTGGAAAAAATGCAACTTGTTTATAAACCTTGATTCCTTTTCTCCAAAGGTACATCTATCAGAGCCTTCTTTCTTCTGTGGTTCTACATGGCTATTAAAAAATGCCTGAATCAGCAAGACTGCCCACCTACAGGAAGCCAAAACTAAAAACAAGAGAACAGACACCAGAAACTGCTTAATCACTGTCACTCTCATTTCAGGGGTAGTCAAGGTTCTATGATCAGGCACTTGGGCTTGCTTCCTACATATTCATTTTCTAAAATCTTTCTCTGCTTATAAACCGTGTTTTATTCACTGATCCTACAATTTCTCTAAGTCCAGCAAGCATTTTCTTAGAACCACCATTCATACACACCACCAAGAAACCACAATGTGAAGTTCACCTCGCATCCCTCTGTGGTTTATATTTCTAGCCCCACCTAATCGCTAGGCATGGAGATAGAGCCCTCTCACATTTCAGCAGCCTGATACTGCTCATGGCCTGTCCAATCTAAAACCCTTCTGTGGTCTAAACTAATAAAATATTTTTTCTCTCTTTCTCTGTGAAAAATTCTGTAACTTCCCCCTCTCTCTCTTTCTTATAACTATTCAGTTATTTTCCATTCCCTTATGGCATTCTACTGAGGCTTTGCAAACAGAACTACAAATTCTTCTAAGCAAGCGCTATGAGGCCCCTGGGCCTGCTCTCAGTGTTGAAAAAACCAGGTTTCCAAGTCTGCAAGGTTGAAAGTCAGCTCGTAGACTGCTGCAAATCCACCAAGGTAATATTACTCTTTGAAACACCTTTAGGAAGGCAACCAACTGGCTTCCCCTAAAGACTGCACTTTCCTTCAAAATGCCAATAACCGGCACATAGCTACAAGGACAGTTTCTAGTTTTCTAATATTTCTCCATTCTTTTGTATTAAGTTATTGTTATTCTCTCGTTAACACTACTTATTTTTTGGCTTTGCCTCTACCTACCATATGAAGGAGGGGTCATGTTTCTTTTAAGTTCTCCTTCCAACTATTTCATTTATTGAATGCTTACAATGAAGTTAAACACTGTGCTAGGTTCCAAGAGGAATTCAAACAACAGATAAAGCAATCCGGACGAGAAGAAAAGTCTGTACACAAACTGAGAAATATAAGAGCAGGAACAAGAGTAGGCAGGGTCCTGACTAGATCTGCATATGTAATTAGCTGTTCCTCTGCCACTCCTCTCTGCCATATCACCCTTCTTTTCTGCCTTCTTCCCAGTGTCTCTTATTATTTGCAATTAACAGCTAACACTCCCCAGACTTCCCTCTCATCTACTCCTTCTGTGGCCTCCATCTGTACTTTTCCTTTGTTGGCCTCTGCCTCCTCAACTGCCCGGGCTGCCTGGGGGACTTACTGCAGCCTCTCACCTTCCTCTCTTCCCTCATGGGTGGTTCCACGATGCTGCCTCCCAGCTCGTACAAATAGAAGATGCCACACAACTGAAAGCTATTTCCCCCTTCTATCTAAACGAGAATTCCCCAAACTGATGTCCCACATTTTTCAACTTTTGCTACAAGTTGAGTAAAGTGAATTTTCTGTGCTTTGCACATCAAAGATGCTGAATAAATATCTGCTTTGCATCCACCAGTAATAGGCAAGAATTGGAAACGTTTGAATTGTTGTAATGGAGATTTCTATTAAGATTTCTATCATCCTCTAAGCTTATGTTCTATAGAAATCCAATTCTATGGGTTTGAATAGGTGTTATGGGGGGAGGGAGAATAAGGATTCTTTGGTCAAATATGCATGGGAAACACTGGGTTTTACAAAGTTAAATGAGTCTCTTTACTGTAGGATTGCTGATGGCCCATCTAATGTGCTGAAGTGAATCTCTCGGAGGAGAGCATTAAGGGAATATCATGTGAATATCATATAACCTTTTGCCTCCATATCCTCTTCTCACGGAGCACCTTCCAGGCCTCAACTCCTCTGTAAAATGAGTACTTATTTCATTGGGTTATTATGAGAACTGATTAAGTTAATGAATGTAAAATGCTTAGAACAATGCTAGGCACATAATAAGCACTCAAGAAGAGTTAACTATAATTACCACCACATGGCAATAGTCCCAGAAAAACTGAAACGAATAATTTTCACTGTAAGGTAATTTCCACTCTTACTATCAAGTGGATGAAACAAGTCCTCCCTTTGCCTAAAAGGCACTGCTTCAGGCTGCAAATAACAAAAACATTTACAGAAATAATTAATACATATCATACAGTTACCAGTAAGAAACTTAGATCTCACAGAAAGAGCACAAAGTTAAAAGTGTCTTATGAATGTCCTTCATTCTAAAGGAAAAGCCTTGAGTACTCTGAGGGCTGAGGCGGTCCTAATACTCAGCACGGTCTCTGATGCACAGTGAGCACTCAGTAGAAGTCTGATGAAAAACCTGAGAAATTAATGGATAAATGAGTATTACCTTGAATAACAACTCAAATATTATTTCTAAATCACTGTAAAACAACTGGGAGCCCCATCACATTTTTATATTCAGGCTCCCTCACTCTCCTTTGCAGATGTTTAATCATATAGGTGGAATACGAAAATAGACAGAACAGTGGTTCCACATTTTGTGTGGAAGTGTTAAAGGTACTTGATTGAATTTAATTTCCCAGGTGCGTCACAATCTAAAATCTGCTAAAAAAACAAAAATCAAAACAACTATAAAAGTAATATGCATCTTGCACAATGGTACTGTTTAACTGACATGTATCTTTAAAGATACAGTACCTATCTACCTCATGTTCATAATTTAAACAGGAATTTATAATTTATGAATTTACACAGGAAACTCCCCCTACCTAGTCATCTGGGCTGGTTTTAGAACTCTGCAAAATTTTCAAAGAACTGAGAAAAAAATCAGAAACAGAAAACTAAGCTTCAAATAATTAAATGGGTTAGTGGAAGGAAAAAAACGTGCATTTTATAAAAATCAGCAAGGATCTTCCTATTTTTTTCTGGTAACAACGACCTCATATACTCCCAATTTTAAAATACCAGGATTCTAAGCCCATGCCCTCACAACATCACTGCTTCTATCACCCAGTTTCTTCCTTTTATGAGCTTTTCTTTTCTAAACAAATAACCCAGTAATCCTCGCATTAAAAAATTCTAAAACAAAGGTCAGCAAATTATGGCCAGGGGCCAAATATGGCTTGCTGCTTGTTTTGTACACCAGATGGCCAAAATGGCTTTTTACATTTTTAAAGGGTTTTAAAATAAAACAGAGAAGAATATGCCACAGAGACTTCATGGCTTGCAAAGCCTAACATATTTACTATCTGGTCCTTTACAAAAAACTTCACTGACCCTGCTCTAGGCTATTATTTATCACAGCTTACTCAGTAATTTCAGATAATTCATCTCAACGACAAGCTCAGTGAATCATTAAATTTTAAGCAGTATTTAGAATAGAACTCCTTCATAACAATGTTTGCTCTCTTCTTGCATACCACTTAGTTCCAATAACCAATTAATTTATTGTTCAGAAGCTGGCACAGAACCCTGCGCATTATGGAAGTTCAAATATCAAACTCAGACGGCCTGAACCACAGCACTTCAGTTATAAAGCGGGTCTACAGTGAGACACAGAAAACCCTTCTCTCTTATGGGAATTCAGACCAACTGATCAGTGAAGCAACTCTAACCAGTTTCTCATACTGCACATCCCCCATATTTACTTAGCTAAAAGAAATAAAATAATTCTCCCTTGATTTCTCTGAAGGCTACCCCAGGTGAGAGATATACATATCTCAAAATCTCTAACATGTTTCTAATTAAATTTTTGTATAGAGACTTCTCTCAAAGTATTCAAAAGAAAACAAACTCAGTAACTCACTCCAGAGCTGGTCTCAGAACTCTGACTTTTAATGCTTCTAATATTCGATTTAACTCCACAAACGGTTCCTTCTGACTTGGGTCTACAGAAAGACCAGATTCCTGAAAAAACAGAAAGAACTTTTGTTAGCAGTAATCAGGGTAAAGAGATAATAGTAAAAGCACATTCTAAATTATAAAATATGGGCCCAGGCATTAGAGATAATTTCTTTTTAACACGTATTTCTATGGCAGAGACTAATGACTGAGCCCTAGTCTCATTGTCTCCCCTTTTCCACAGTAGTAGGACTCCTAAATTTTAGCTGGGTACATAACCATATGGAATAAAGTTGAATAGGACTTTGTGAGACGTAAGTTCTGGCCAATGAAATATAAGTGTGTACTCTGCCCCTTCTTGGAGTACCAAATGTGTAGCTAGAGTTCTGGCTACTATCCTGAGGACAGGGAACACTTTAGAAATAGCAGAGCTACAAGGAGCCTAGGTCCCCAAGAGCTTCATGGAGCATAGCTTCCATACATGCTGTGGATGGCTTACGACCTTTTATTTCTGTGCAAGAGAAATAAACGTCACTTTTGTTTAAGCCACTGGTATTTTGGGTCTTTGTTACTTGTAAACAAACTTAATCCTGAATGACACAATTTACTTTAGGAAATTTATACAGACACACACATGAAATTCCTGTAAAGTACAGAGAAAGACCTGAGTTATCATTTATCTGAATTGTTTAAAAGAGACAGGGCTTAGATTAGAAGTTTGGTTTACAGATTGGTTTTAAATTATTTAATCCTTACAGTCCTTCGTTTTTCTAAAGGGAAAATACAATGGTACATGGTGGCTTAGAACAGAGTTTGAAGACACATGAATTTGGGATTGAATCCTAGTTCCTTCACTAAGAACCTATATGGCCTTGTGCAAGTTACCTCTCCAGACCTCAGATTCCTCATCTGTGAATGGGAGCAATAATTCCTACGTCATAAGACTGCAGTGAGGAATTACAGCAGGGCGTGGCTTGCGGTAAAAACTCAATACGTGGCAGCTGCTACTATAATGACTATGTGCTATCAGTAAACTCTTCTGAGATCCCTAAGCTCATGACTAATAGAAATGAAAGAAAATGCTGCTCACCTGAAGGAAACTTCAGCTTGAAATTCACTTGCTAAATAAAATTCTACAAGTTGGGCCAGATCAGAAGAACAAACAGAAAGCTCTTTGTCCTTTTCTTCTCTGCTACACTAACCTTGCCTATCAAAGGAGGAAAAGGAGCACGTGGTATCACTTCTGACCCCCTGGTTGATGACCCGGGACCAATGCTACGGAGCAGGAAGAAGAAAAAGGCAATTGGAATAAGAAGTTCTAGGACTACAATTTTTTACTAATAAAACAAAAAGACTTCCTAGTTAAATGAGGTCAGCCCTGACAATAACAACAGTAAAAATCTATGCATGGCTAGAAGATGACTCAAAAACTCCAAGGAGCTCCCTTGTTTCTGCTTCCTCTTCTCACCATGGACACAGTGTTACCTGGCAGAGCTCCTCAGCTACATCCAGCATTCCTTGTCGGAAGAAGTGCTCCACCATCACCTCATTGAGAAGCCTCTGACTGTCCGCTTGCCAGCAGCCATCTATTCCCACACTGCTAATGTCAGAGTCAAAATTCTGAAAAAGAAAATGAATCGTGAACAGTCTAGGATCCATCACTTTATATGGTTTTCACCCCACCTAACAGAAAGAATGGCCTTCATTTCACTGAGATACCCTCAATAAGTACCCAATTCAAATTTATCTGCAGCCTACAACAGGAAGTAGTTTTTTCCATCACTCCTTTCTAAAACCTGTCACTCTCATTGATTATAGCTGCAAGAGTAAACACATTTTAGGAGGGCATTTTGGAAAAATATATAAATTTAATAATGATTTCTGTGAATAAACTGATTTCTAGGCATTATACTATAGCAATATTTTCAGAGATGTACAGTGATACTTGTAAAAGCATGCTCAATGTAGCAGTGTCTAGTAGGAAAACAGAAGCCCCATATGTGCAATACACGCTTAGTTAAATAATCATGGCACATCCCAACAACTGCAGAGCCAAGGTGGGGGTAGGGCTGGGGGTGGGAGAATGGCCAGGTGGTTAAGAGAGCAGGTTCTGCAGCCAATCCACCCGGGTTTGAATCCTGGTTCTCTTACTAGTTGTGTGATCTTGGCCAAATCAGTCAAGGACTTTGCAGCTCAGCTTCCTTATCTTAAGTGGAGAAATTAACAGTACCTCCCTGTTACGGGCTGAATTGCATCCTCCCAAAATTTCTATGTTGAAGTCCTAACTCCCAGTACAGTCAAGCATTGCTTAACGATGTGGATACCTTCTGGCAAATGCATTGTTATGACTTCATCATTGTGGGAACATCATAATGTGCACTTACACAAACCTGCATGGTACAGCCTACTACACACTTGGCTATATGGTGTAGCGTATTGCTCCTAGGCTACAAACCTCTACAGCATGTTACTGTACCGAATACTGTAGGTAACTGTAACACAATGGTATTTGCATATGTAAACATATCTAAACATAGAAAAGGTACAATAAAAATATAAGGTATAAAAGATAAAAAATGGGACACCTGCACAGTGTACTTGCCATGAATGGAGCTTGCAGGACCGGAAATTGCTCCAGGTGAGTCAGTGGGTGAGTGGTGAGTGAACGTGAAGACCTAGGACATCACTGTACACTAGTGTAGACTTTATACACACTGTACACCTAGGCGACACTAAATTTATTTAAAAAATTCTTCATTTTTCCATAATAAGTTAACTTTAGCTTACTAAAACTTTTTACTTTATAAACTTTTTAATTTTTTAAACTTTTTGACTCGTGTAATAACAGCTTAAAACACACATTGTACAACTATAAAAATATTTTGTTCTTAAATTAAAAAAATTTTTTTTTTACTTTTTAAACTTTTTTGTTAAAATTAAGACACAGACTCATGAGCCGAGGCCTACACAAGGTCAGGATCATCAATATCACTGTCTTCCACTTTCACATCTTGTCTTACTGCAAGGTCTTTGGGGGCAGTAACACACATGGAGCTGTTATCTCCTATGATGACAATGCCTTCTTCTGGAACACCTCCTGAAGGACCTGCCTCAGGCTCTTCTTGAGAAGGTGTCATTCTTCAGAAATATGTCCATGGTAGTTTCCTTGGCTTTTTTCTTTTTTCATCATAGATTTGCTTGTAAACAGATAATGCACCATGAACATTCCTCTGTATTAATGAAAACCTCTTGGTGTTGAGGTCCATGTTTTTAAACTGTTTAAGGAGCCTGCTGAGGTTTGCAAAAGCTTCTGCTAAACCCTCTACTATGAATTTTCTTGGAGGTTATTCTTCTTTTACTTCTCCAGCAGGTTCCTTTTCTCTTGACTCTTCTTTAGCTATGTGTTCCTGTTCCAGTTCCAACAACTCATTAGCCAATTCCTCAGGAACAGCCTCTGGGAGCTACTCAATGTCATCCTAATGCATACTAAGATTAACGTTGGTGTGTTTGCCACCTCAACCACAGCCTTGTGGATTTCTGCAACCTCCTCATACTTGGCAAATCCTTTGAAGTCATGGACAAACCTCTTGAGTGTCTTTTTCCAGATGCTATTCACATACTCCCTGGTGATACCACGCCAAGCCAAGCAAGGTTCTTGATGCATTCATAGATGTTGTACCCCTTCCAGAATTGCATCAGTATCTTCTCAGTGTCTTCCTCAATTGCAGCAATGGCCTGGCAAAGGTCCTCCTCAGGTTGTAGGCCTCAAAAGCTGCTGTAACTCCTTGATTCGCTGGTTGGATCAAAGAGGTGGTGTCTGGAAGGAGAAACACTGCTCTGATATTGGGAGGAATATAATCAATAACAGGAGGATGTCTGGGAGAATTATCAACAATAAGCAAAATCTTGAAAGGTATGTTATTCTCCAAACGATATTTCTCCATTTCGCTGGCACAGCAATTCAGGAGGCCACCTTGGAACAGGAGCTGGGTCATCCATGACTTCTTATTGCCCCTGTCTTATGTAGCAGCATGTGTCTATTGACAGATGTGTTTGAAGGCCCTGGGGTTCTCACTGTGCCAGATCACAAATGGTTTCAATTTGTAGCCTGTAACACTGCCACCAAGCGAGACTTATCCTGTCCTTAAAAGACTTGAAATCTGCCAAACTTGGCCTCCTTATGAATGAAAGTCCTTTAAGGTATCCAATTCCAGAAAAAGAAGGTTTTATCCAAACTGGCAAGTAATTTTCCTCCACAATCAGCTTATCTAGAGTTTCCAAAAATTCTTCAGCTGCCTTCATATCAGCTCGCGCAGACTCACCACTCACTTTCACATCGTGTAATGAGCAATGATCCTTGAGTTGTTTAAACCACCCAGAGCTAGCAGTAAATCAACACTGTAGTCAGGTCCAGCCTTTTCTTTCAACACTGCAAACAAACTGTTGGCTTTGCCTGTGATTGTCATGGTGCTGAGAGGGATACACTTCTGTGTCTGGTCTTCAATCCAAGTCATTAGAAGTTTCTCCATGTCTGATAGAGGCCCTTCTCAAAGTTTTGTCAGTCTCCTTGCCTTCAATGAAGCAGATCCTTTAACTGTTTCTGTCACTCTGTTCTTGTTCTTCAAGATCATAGGTATGGTGGAATGGGACATGTCTGAGTGGTGAGCAATAACCATCACTGATTTTCCACCTTCGTAATCCATCATCACTTTTAATTTCATTTCCACGTCAGTCAGTCAACGTGGCCTCTTACCGGAAACATTAACAGTGTATTTTGTATGCTTAGGGGCCATGATTAAAGCAAGCACAAGAAAAAATAATGTAATCAAGAGGCATGGTGAACACAAGATGTATAAGGCAGCTACGAGTGTAACACAGCACACTGCTTTACAGTAAACTTTTTTAGTAAGTAGAAAGAGTACACTCTAAAATAGCAATAAAAAGAATAGTACAGTAAATACATAAGCCAGTAAATAGTCATTTATCAAGTATTATATACTATACATAATTGTACATACTATACTTTTATAACATTGGCAGTGTGACAGGTGTATTTACACCAGCATCACGAGGCAAGAGGAATTCTTTAGCTCCATTTAATCTTATATGGGACCACCGTCATATATCTGGTCCATCGTTGACTGAAACATGGTTACATGACACATGACTGCACCTCATCCAGTTAAAATCAAGTCATTAGGGTGGGCTCTAATTCAATACGACTGAGATCCTTATAAGAAGAGGAAATTAGGACAGACAGGTACAGAGGGAAGACAATGTGTTACAGACTGAATGTCTGTGTCTCCCCATAAAATCTCTAGACTGTAGCCCTAACTGCCACTGTGACGGTACTTAGAGACAGTCTATAAGGAGGTGACAAGGATTAAACGGAGTCATTAAGGATGGGGCCTTAAACCAAGGGCTGATGCTCTTATAGAACAAGGAAGAAACCCCAGACCTCTCTCCATCATGTGAGGACAGTGAGAAGGCAGTCATCTGCGAGCCAGGAAGGAGGTTGTCTGCCCTCAAAAGGAAATGAATTGGTCAGCACCTTGATCTTGGACTTCCCGGGCTCCAGAACTGCATAAAAATAAATTTTTATTGTTTAAACCACCTAGTCTGTGGTATTTTGTTATGGCAGCCCAAGACAATTAAGATGCCATGTGAAGACATAAGGAGATGATGGCTATCTACAAGGCAAGGAGAGAGCTTCAGAATAAACCAACCCTGTCAACACCTTGACTTAGAACTCCTAGTCTCCAGAGCTGTGGGGAAATAAGTGTCTGCCTAAGCCACCAGCCTGTGGTATTTTGCTATAGCAGCCCTAGCAAATTAATACACATCTTTATTGGCTGAATGAAACGGTAGTTGCTACTATTCCAGTATTCCTCTTTACAATTAAAAAGTAAGGATTTCATTGCTCTGTATCTACTAACATGGAAAAATGTCCCTAACACCTTAAGTGAAAAAAAGCAACTTGTACAAAAATATGAATCCATTTTTGTTAAAAAAAAAAAAACCAAAACCAAAGAAAAACAAATTGCAAATGCTCAGGGAAAAAATCTAAAAGAATATACACTAAAGTATTAGCAGAGATTATCACTGGAGATTACTCCTCTCCACATAGAGAGTAATTAAATATTCCTTTTACAATAAACTAAAAGATTTTTTTTTAAAGCACACATGTGGGTTCCAGTTCGGGGTAAGATCGAGTAAGCACTCTCCACCCGTCTCTCCCACCGAATGCAGTTATGAAATCAGGACAAAATGAATGGAGCAGCTATTTGAGGACACTAAAAAGTGAAAAGTAGTAAGTCGACTGGGGAAGAAGGTCACAGAATTAGTGGTGAGTTTACAACTTTTCTCCCTCCGAGATCTCTCAGCCTGGGTGCAATGGAGCCAAAACCCCGAACTGGGCACCCAGGATGTAGACGGAGAGTTCCAGGAGAAGTCCTCTAGTTCTTGTAGGAAGAACAGGGATGGGTCACCCACCACTCAGAGACATGAGGGCATCACGTATTTTTCTTGCACCTCTAGCTCATTAGTTTTCACTGAGACTTAAAACAACATAATTTTACTATCTCACAGCTCTACAGGTCTGAAAACCAATAGGCTCAGGC